GATTGCTGGAGCCCAGCAGGTCGAGGTTGTGGTGGCCGGGAGCAGCCACTGCACTCCAGTCTGAGCGACAGAGTGAGACTTCAACTCAAACAAAAAACAAACAAAAAACCGCATATTCTTGGGCCCCTACCCTAGACCTACTGAATCAAAACATGGAAGTGGGACCCAGGAATCTTCACTTGTAATAAGCACCCTAGGTGATTCTATTAACATTCAAGTCTGACTGCTTAAATAGGAAACAGAGATAAGGGGCACAAGACTAAGAGTCATCCCCAACTAGCACAGATGGAGAAAGGATCCAGCCATTTGACCTTACTGGCTTCCCCAGGCTGATGGAATCAACCAGGTAGCTCTTCCACAGGAGATACATCTTTTGTTCATGTTCCCTCCCCATCCCTTTCCCTTTCCCTTTCGCTTTCCCTTTTCCTTGGCCTTCATGAGGACAAATCTTCACTTTCACTTGTTGGACTGTGAATAAGTCTTAGTTTTAACAATTCCCCTCTGTCATTACTGGTGTGACAGTGGCTTATTGCTCTTTTATAAAATAAAAATGCCTTTTTTTTTTTTTTTTTAGGCAGGATCTCACTCTGTCATCTAGTCTGGAGTGCAGTGATTTGATCCTGGCTCACTGCAGCCTCGACCTCCTGGATTCAATTGATCGTCCCACCTCAGCCTCCTGAGTTGCTGGGACGACAGGTGTGTGCCACCATGCCTGGCTAATTTTTTCATTTTTTGTAGAGATGAAGACTCACTATGTTGTCCAGCCTGGTCTTGAATTCCTGGGCTCAAGTGATCCTCTCATCTTGGCCTTCCAAAGTGCTGGAATTACATGTATAACCCACAGCACTCTGCCGAAAATACCAGTCTTTACTACTTCACAAGATTGTTGCAAAGATTAAATAGGATCATTCATGTAGAAACCATTTTAAGTATATTCTAAAGAAGCAAACAATTATAATTGCTGTTTTTAGTCTGACCTGGTTCTCAGGTAGGTGACCACTCTTGCCTTTCTGTCCACACTTGGTACTTTTCAGGTAGTTGATCTGGAAACACGACAGCTAAATTTATACAGACTGGCCAGCAGAGGGCAATGAAAGCCAACTTTGCTTGCCAGGTGACTAGAAACTTCAGTTTAGAGAAATGGTGGGAACTTGTTAGAAATGCAAATTATTGGGCCCCCCAGCAGACCTACTGCATTAGAAATTCTGAGGTTAAAGTCCAACAATCTGAGTTTTAACAAGCTTTCCAGCTGATTTTACTCACACTAAAGTGTGAGGACCACTGTTTTAGAGAACTGTCGGAGTCTCAAATCAGTTTGGCCTGGGCTTCCCGAAGCAAAATCAGTGGAATTCACTCTGTGGTATGGCTAAGCCCAGGCTCTGTGTTGCCACAGAGACTTAACAACTGGATTTGGGGTGGGGTGGGGTAGG